TTTTTCTAAAAGTAGACTATTAAAGAAAGAATTTAGAGTTTTATAAAGATTTAACCGTATTTTTTGTCCACTATATTATAGATCGTCTTTCATAGCTTACCTTGAGGTAATAAACCATGATGACCTGAACTGAAACAAGAGAAAGGTTTACTTGGTCTATCATATAACGATGTGGCACGCAACTTTCTTATTTAAAAACGGTTTTAAAAGCCCGTCGTATAGCTGAGGGTCTTACATAAATAGGTGTAGCTTAAAACTGGTACGGATTAAGTTGTTTAAGAAAGGTAGGCAATTATTTTCTATTTAGATGTTTTTAAGGGGGAATTCTTTTCTCAGAAATTTGATATTCATATTTTTAATAACAAAATATTTTTTTGTGTAAATTGACAAGAATTCACGGAAAAATGAGACAATGTGAGCGTATGCCAAAGCTAAAATATCCGACTGAAAATGTAGCTTATAATATTTTGAACGGATATCTGAAGATATACAAGATTTGTTTGTTTTATGCTTAGGATATAAGGTTGTTTAAATTCACTTTTTTTTATAAAAAAGTAGTTCCAATGTTGTCATCTGCACGTGGTGGAATTGATAATTGTTTTAAGTTTGACAATTAAAATATGAAACATTATCTAACATGTGCTATCTTTAAGTCTCGTTATCGGGCTTTCTCGCCGATTATTTTAAATACAAATGTACGTAATGTACTTTTACATATTTACATAGTTGCGTACTGTTTTATAGATTTACTAAGTAGATAAAATATACACTTTCACTGCAAGGTTATGCAACACTTTCTTAAATAGTTAGTTATTATAAAACTAAAACTTCATGTGATTTAACTCTGACAGTTTTACTCATAATCATTGATACGATTGCATAGAACATGTGTGTATTGCTTTATATCTAAAATCCTAATTTACATGTCTAAATAACAAAGATTGTGATAGCGTTATGTATGTATAAGTTCACAAACTAATTCTTTAAGGCTCAAAGTCATAAGTATGCTAGCTTGTATGTCAGCTAAAGAAGTAGAAACAACAAATGAAACATGACAGAAGCCCAGTAAGCAGTAAGGAATATCGTAACTCAGTCCTCCACCCCATGTTCTACCCCTACCCCATTGAAATTTCTTATTAGTATTCAAAGATGTTTATTTTTCTCTATTCTATTAGACATCGCATATATATCTTAAAAAATGCACGACATAAGAATCTGATTGTTTTCAGCATTAGGAAGTGGAAACATTTACATACATTGTCAATTGTTACTATTGTAACTATATTAGTCGGGTTGGTCGTGCCATGATATACTGATGCACTAAGATAAACATTGTTTTTTTCTTCCTTAGTGTTTAGTCTGATTGTCTTTACCTTTGATGTCAGCGTAGTACATACTGGTATCTATTACAATTGATACATTTTATGTCTATCAGTGATATACCCCGTCTATACCATGAATAACGAGTTATTCTCCAGTATGTAACATGAACCCGTCGAGTAAGCGGCTATTTGATTACCGATGTCTAACCAACGCAACAACACAACTTACTTTGGTTCCCTTCAATTTTGATATCAAGTTATATCAAGTTATAAAACAATTTGGATAGATATCAAACTACAACGAGGAGAGTATGACACTAAATATACTATTTATGATATCATGTAACGCAAATCTATACCTCGAATTAAAAGGGTCCAATGATAACAATTATATACCTCGTTCTGAATTAACATCGGTGTCAGATTTTAATTTGATATGACTATTGAAATTTTAGACACATGAGAAATTCCCAAAATGTCTGAGAGCATAATTTTAAAAAGTTTATAAAGGTTTTTCATAGTCTTTTTTTTTTAAAATGACCACTTGTCCAGAAGACTTTCTCTCTCCATATACCAAGAACGTATTCAACATTCCATCGCATTGTCTAAGATGTACACATAATTTTAATAGCGGAATCAAAAATCACGGTTTTCACTCATGGGGAATAGCGGGGACTTTGACTTTAAGATTTTCAAACTCTTTTAAAGAGGAATATCAGAAGGTATGCATCCCCGCTAAATGCCATGTCACTCCAAGTTGTGACGTATATTTAGCTATTTTTAGCACAGGAAACAGAGCAGTCAGTTCGTTCCCCGGCCTTTTTCAACTTACGATATTATTGAAGATTATTTAATTACTATGCATTTACGATTTCTTAAGAATGTATGTAGGTGTATTATTACATTATTTACACAAAAAGATAACAAGTGCAGTTTTTGTCTTTTGATGACATACGGGTAACCTTAAACTTTAAGCAGACGACTTTAATAGAAAACAATTGTTAAATACCATGTAACTTATAACATACATGGTACTCATTACCTTTCATTTAGGACGTCGGGTTCCCGTGGGTGTTTTGTTCACAGTTGGTTTATATTCATATACAAGACACCTCCGTCTCCATGTTTGTTTCTTTTTTTAAAAAAAGAAATGGTTTCGTACTTAAAAAAAGAAAGAAAAGAAAGAAGACAAGAAAGAAGGAAAAAAAAGAGAGAAAGAAAGAAAGAAAGTAAGTAAGAAAGAAAGAAAGAAAGAAAGAAAGAAAGAAAGAAAGAAAAAAAGAAAGAAAGAAAGAAAGAAAGAGAAAAAGAAAGAAAGAAAACCAGCATATCCGAAACCCTACAAACACAATATTCTCAAAAGAGAACACGACGGTGACAGTGTATGGTTGACAGTGAAAAAGGGTCTCTTTGCTTAGCTACAACCCTCACATATTAAAAGTGTGCACAGAATTGAATTTTTGTAAATTAATTATATGAAACTTATATAAACTGAACAGGTGCTAATTGGCTTACTAGGTGTATTAACTATTAGAATTTTGTTCATTAAACTGCAGGGAAATAAATCTATTTAAGATATTTGACGTGTAGAATTTCAGATAATAAGTGAAAAAAGAAGATATTTTCTCATTTTTACATTTTTCCAAAGAGAAAGGTCACACTTGCTGTTTACGATTATTATAAACGAGAACATGTGTTTGGTTAACAAATATACAATAACAGTGATATTTGAGAGGACGTCAATTTAGAATGGAGACCCTGTAATAAAACATTCGTAATGGAAATATTATATTTATTGCTTATTATATTTAACATAATACAGACATGAAAAATATATTGTTATATGGCAAGCGGTAATGCTGAAATTGGATGCTTAAATTGCCCAAAACATAATTAATCACGAAGCAAACATTTTCGTCTATTCGATACCATGTATTAGAGCCAAGCGTTTCAGACGCTACAAAAATACGGAATCAATGCTTAATTCACGCACGGTTCTCATATTCCGTAGCCCGGATCGTATTTCCGATCATTTCCGTGAATGTCCGACTTTAAGCTGGAGATATTGATTTGGACGTGAAATAAGATGGAATATTATAACTTGAATAAACATTCAAGAGATCGTGTTCGCATTAAAACGTCATCTAGGAATCACGTATGTCTGGTCACTCTAATGCTGTTTCATATCATATGTTAACTTCATCTATCAAAATATAGCTGTCAAAGAAAATATAAAATTTCTTATATGTATAAAATAGCAGAAACATAAATAATTCATAAATATATTCTGGAACATTTGTGATATGTATGACAGACATAGGGTGAAAAAATGATGGTTTCATGTAAAAAAAAGTATCCTGGTTAATATATACATTGGCAACGTTCTTGTGCTGTTATATTATTTCAAATAAAATTTACGAGTTTTTTATGATTAAGAATTGAATGAATTTTGAAATTATATGAACTTAAAATAGGTGTATACTGATTTTAAACAATGTTAAGGTTTTTTTATGTTTTCTATGTCGAAAATCGATTCTGGTATCGATTATCGATTATTAATCGATTATGAATATTTGCAATGCACTTGTCCAGCTTAGAATATTGAACAGTGTATTAAAAAATGATACATCAAACATTTTCTTTTAGAGGCTATTAATAATATGAATCCAAAATTGTGATGATTTATTTTATCAAGTAATTTACCAAATAGTGAATTTCGATTAAAAAGAGTGGCAACAAATTGCGGCTTATTTGTCTTAATATAGCAATGTACCTTGTTAAGAGTGACAGGAGCTTTTTGCCAGTCTTTTAATGTTGAGTGTCCAGCGAAAATGAGATACTGCTATAAATTTTAAAATTTAAGTAAGACAGGCTACATAATGAATACCAGCACAGACAACTTAAGACACTTTACTGTGTAGGTTACACTCACCGGTCAGGTATAGAAAATGAACTCACGGAACCTTGCCGATGGTCCCAATGTTTTTACCATAATATATTAGCCCATTTAATTTGACGTTACATATTAACGACGAGTGTTTTATTTTGAACAGGATGTCCATTAATATTTGTCCGATATTTATCTATTTTAACTATATTGGTCAAGTTTTGAATTGGTGCATTGTCTGATATAGCGCTCAAAAATGTTGGTTTCAATTTCTCGTTATGTCCGACTTTAGTTCCACGACTATTGATTAAAGTAAGAGCCACAATTAATCTTTATAACTTGAGAGTAAATCTTCTTCATAAACGTCATGTTACAGATGAGAAAGTTGGTCATGATTTGTTTTGTTTTAATAGAGTTTTCCAAAATGACTGACAAATATATGTCTAAACTGACAAAGATAGATATTTACTGACAAAAATAAAGATAAGTATAAACTGACAAAGAAAGGTCAAAGATGATAAAAAAATAGGTAAACATTGAATAATGTGTAAAAATACAACAAAGCAACATATCTGTTTCATTTTTCTATGAGTATTTCTATATAATGCTATAGAAGCTTGTGTTGTGATTTTATTCTTTGATCGGTGATTCTGCATTTGAAATTGACCAATGGGAGTATTGCTTTCTATGGCACTGCGCAATACATAAAGTTTATTTAATTTTCCAGAAACGAGCAATCTTCAAAGCAAATTGTTAAAGAATATTCAAATTTCTGTATTGTTTATTTTCAGAATTATGCTGAGCATACTATGAATGAACTATTGGGGCTATTTGGCTACGATGATAAAGTAAATAGTACCGACACAGAAAATCTAAACCTCGAGAATTACACGGAAAACAACGACAGCGATTCGCCGACGTCAGAGACAAGTAGTGACGTCAAAAATAAGAAAAGACGTCCCTCTGATAGACTGAAGTCAAGTCTTAGGCGCAGTGAGTATTTACTACATTTGACTTTATTTGCTACTTAATATCAAGGACTGCTTTAAAAACTTAAATTTTTATAAAATTTGTATATGTGGTGGTGACGTATAATGACACTGATAAGGTCAAGGTCCTTCTTTCCAGACTTAATAATAGAGAAATGTTTCAGGAACCGATAGGGAGCCAGATCGGTATGTTCCTCACACGGTAGTATCCTATGACCCAAGTGGGATTCAAACCTGCGGTGAGGGAGGCGGTTTGAAGTCAAATACTTCAACCATTTAGCCAAAGAGCCTTTAGGTCTAATCACAGCCAATTAAGATATTTGCCAGACTTTCTGTTTCAAGTAAATTCAATTAACTCGATATAATCAATCAATTGTCATTATAGAGCAACATAGCTTCACACAATGGTCGGATATTTACACACACTGGTTCCATAGTATTAAATTGATAAATTATTCCATAATGTTTAATTGATAAATTTGATATTAATTAAGATTATAATAATTTCATAAAACAATAGATGATTAAAACTGTGGATAACAGTGTTGAAAGTAATACCTCTATTCTAAATAAAATATTGATAATAAGAATATTTGTTTTCTCGAAATGCACTGATTTGTTCTCGCTTTTATGACGTCTTTAGTATTGCAATATTTCTGCCTGTTTCATTTTATCTAATAGTCATAATAATCAATCTAACGCTCTTTTTTTCATCATGATAAGGCGAATGATTTTTTTCTCCGCACTCTAGTTTTTTCTCTTATGATATGCTTTATAATTGCCTAATATTCAAAGGGGAAGTATTTCTGTAACTTATAAGCCTTGATGGTGCCTACATGTTGGTATATTAGCCACATGTGTGTGTGGCAAACTAGAAAACCAAGAACATCTCTATCGATAAAATGTCTGCGAATTACAGGAAAAGTGTGTTACTCGATCCGCAAAGTTTGGTGCATTCAGCTGTTTTTGTGCAACCCTATAGTCGGCCGCCATCTTGTTTTCCCGACAACGTCTCTCCATAATAGGCTATACGATAGTTAAACGAGAGAAAAGATGGCTCCAGTTTCGAATCGGACCCCTCGGGTAGAATTTCACGATAATGAAGGATATATCAAACTGATTGTCGGCTATGATTAATGTTTGATGTTATACGTTACAGCTACAGGCCTCTCTGGAAACTGTAATACAAACTCTCGTATTATCTTTAACAGCCATAGAAAAAGTCTGTTTTCTGACTAGAGGGATAGAATAATGGCAGAAAAACAATGAAAGATTTGAGAAAAAAAAATCTAAACAAATATTTTGGCTTAAGAGTTCAATTTCCGCATATTCGTTAAGTAATATAGAGATCTTGAAAATTTTAATGCAAAAGATTTTACATTTGTCTGTAATTGTATGCTTTTAAATTGAGTAAAATAAATATGAATATTATTCCACATTTTTTTAAATAATTTGTCCATGCTATTTTAAAGAATGTGATGCCCTTACATCCGGAAACACTTGCACTAGTTCATCAATAAAACTTAAATCTATTCTACATCGTCGGATATCCAAGCCCGAAATATCAAGATGCCATGTTACCCGACGATGTCTGGTCGTTCAGGTATATTGTTTGGAAATATCTTCAAAAACTCTTGAAAAACCTAAGGTTTTTGACGTCTTATAAAGTGAGATAATTTTAAAAGAAAAAAGTTGATAATCAATTATTATTAGTAATTCAGTTATGACTGTGAAATACCCAGATATGAATGTAAATATCATTTACCCGTTGACAATACTGATTCTGAATCTTTGTCACACCCTAAAAAATCTTTCCGAATCGAGCAAGAAGAAATACACCCCGATTTGTGACGTATAGAGCTACAATTTGCTACTCTCTGCAGGGTGTGATAATGCTTATGTAACAACGAATTTCATGTTCTATACATATTATCATGCTTAATAAACCTTTTTTACGAAAGCCTAATAGTATCAAATGAAATAAAAAATAAAAATGCAAAGGCGTTATAACGCGAATAAAGGCATTATTACGCGAATCAAAAGGCGTAAGAACGCGAATAAAGGCGTAGCAACGCGAATCAAAAGGCGTAATAACGCGAATAAAGGCGTAGCAACGCGAATAAAGGCGTTATAACGCGAATAAAAAGGCGTAATAACGCGAATAAAGGCGTTATTACGCGAATCAAAAGGCGTAATAACGCGAATAAAGGCGTAATAACGCAAATCAAAAGGCGTAGTAACGCGAATAAAGGCGTAGTAACGCGAACAAAAGGCGTAATAACGCAAATTAAAACACATTATAATGCCAATTTAATACCATATTTATACTAATCAAATTCGCGAGAAAGGAAGACCAATATTCATCTGAATTTATTGCTCAAGATATAAACTCGTATACAATAATACAATATACATTTACAATAACTTTCATTCCATTTGCACAGTAATTATGCAAACTATTTGTCATAAACTAATAAAGACTCTTTAATATTTGCCAATATAAGATGACTTGGTGACTTATAGGTTATAAAGTATTACCTCCTGCAAATAACAATCCTCCTACGAAGTTTGATATTGTGGGCAAATGGAAACTTAAGCTATGCTCCCGAAACCAAAATTGCTTACGGACGGACGGACAGACAGACGGACGGACGCACGTACGGACGCCAGGGGTATAACGTAATATGCCCGAAATTCTTTCGGCATATAATAAAACGTACATCTAGATCAATTCATTTAAATCAACTTGTTCTTCCTTCCATACATTAATAGGCCACTTGTTTGGAATTTATATGGTATTAAATAAGCGTTATAAACGCCTTTTGTTTGCGTTATTACGCCTTTTTTGGTTCGCGTTATTACGCCTTTTGATTCGCGTTATAACGCATTTATTCGCGTTAGTACGCCTTTTGATTCGCGTAATTACGCCTATTGTTTCGCGTTATTACGCGAATAAAGGCGTTATTACGCTTTTCAATTCGCGTTATTACGCCTTTTGGTTCGCGTTACTACGCCTTTATTCGCGTTATAACGCCTTTGTTTCGCGTTATAACGCCTTTATTCGCGTTGCTACGCCTTTTTTCGCGTAATTACGCCTTTTGATTCGCGTTATTACGCCTTTTGATTCGCGTTATAACGCCTTTATTCGCGTTGCTACGCCTTTTTTCGCATAATTACGCCTTTTGATTCGCGTTATTACGCCTTTTTATTACATGCTTTTCGGTGGTTTATAGAAATATATCAGTGATATAAAACTGGTAATTTCACTGTTTGAAACAGTGAAATTACCACTTTGATAATTTCACTGTTTTGAATTTAAGCCCCTCACGTTGTTTCAGTGAAATACCAGCGTACACAGTACTGGGTACCAACTCAATGACGTGACGTCGTAAATGACGTCACGTTGTATTATTATTTGGCGCGCTTTTCATTCAATATTAGGTTTAATGTCTTTTTTAAACGTTTCTTTGCATATAATAAAAAGAAAATTTGTTTAGTTTAGTGTAAGATCGAAATATATTTCACCTTGTGAACACCAAAAGTTAATATTTCACTCGTGGCTGCGCCACTCGTGAAATATACCTTTTGGTGCTCACTCGGTGAAATATATTCCGATCTTACACTGAACTAAACAAATATCCTCTATTGATTCGCGTAACTACGCCTTTGTTTCGCGTTATAACGCCTTTATTCGCGTTGCTACGCCTTTTTTCGCGTAATTACGCCTTTTGATTCGCGTTATTACGCCTTTTGATTCGCGTTATAACGCCTTTATTCGCGTTGCTACGCCTTTTTTCGCATAATTACGCCTTTTGATTCGCGTTATTACGCCTTTTTATTACATGCTTTTCGGTGGTTTATAGAAATATATCAGTGATATAAAACTGGTAATTTCACTGTTTGAAACAGTGAAATTACCACTTTGATAATTTCACTGTTTTGAATTTAAGCCCCTCACGTTGTTTCAGTGAAATACCAGCGTACACAGTACTGGGTACCAACTCAATGACGTGACGTCGTAAATGACGTCACGTTGTATTATTATTTGGCGCGCTTTTCATTCAATATTAGGTTTAATGTCTTTTTTAAACGTTTCTTTGCATATAATAAAAAGAAAATTTGTTTAGTTTAGTGTAAGATCGAAATATATTTCACCTTGTGAACACCAAAAGTTAATATTTCACTCGTGGCTGCGCCACTCGTGAAATATACCTTTTGGTGCTCACTCGGTGAAATATATTCCGATCTTACACTGAACTAAACAAATATCCTCTATTGATTCGCGTTACTACGCCTTTGTTTCGCGTTATAACGCCTTTATTCGCGTTGCTACGCCTTTTTTCGCGTAATTACGCCTTTTGATTCGCGTAATTACGCCTTTTGATTCGCGTTACTACGCCTTTATTCGCGTTATAACGCCTTTGCATTTTTATTTCATTTGACACTATTAGGCTTTCGTACTTTTTTATTTGACAATACTTTTACTATTTATTATGTTGGAAATTAGCAATCTTCACATGCATAAAGGGAGACAATGCTGTTTTCAAAGTAGTTGTAAAACATAACAATTTAACTCCCTTTGGTTGAAAGATACTATGTTACAATCATTCTTAAGTTTCGACTTATGATAATGTACAGAGATATTTGAATTGTTTTCTAAAACCCCTCTTCAAAAAAAATCACTTTTCGACTGCAGTTGTGTAAAAACTATTAAAAGACTATTATATTCTTTGTATTGACAAAAAGCTGACATTACGCATAAGGGAATTCCTGAAATTATTATTACAAGGAACATGACATTGTGTAGCACAATTAAAATTGTATCTGTGCGAGGACCATCGTTGTTAATGATTTTAAATTTTTGGTCTTGGAACCCGATTTTCCCTTGTATTAATTCAAACTCAGATCACAGGCATCGGAATGGTCATAGACTCCCACAGAATATACAATGACCAATGAAAAACATGAGATTTGAGATAGAACTCTGAAAAAAGTTTTATAACCTTGAGGCCAGAACAAAGGGGGGCCAGATATTTCTTACTTCATATATAAGACAAGGCATCAAATCCGATACAGGAAAAAAAACAAATCATGACAGGCCGCACCTGCTGTACAGTATTTAGCATATCCCTTTCAATGGTATAAAACATACGGGAATAGTTTATAATTATCAAGTTATATCTGAATTTTGATATCATAAGTGGATATCAACTCGAGCACGTACAGTAACTGTACACGTCCCTGATACCGAATACATTTAATTTTCATTATCGAGTTTTCTAAAATATGACGATGAAGATATCAGTTTCGCCACATGCACGTTTTATAGACGCAATTTTATGAAACGGATCAATCCCTTGTTCTAATAACAGAAAGAAAAAAGAAAATATATGTTCGCAGTAGTTTTCTGTTATCTCATTCAAAGGACCATCTTTAATCATTAAAATGTTTATACATTATTAAATTACGTTCTCTGCTTAAAAAAGTGAAAAGGGTTCATGTGTGTGATAACACCTGCAGATTTTGATATTAAGGAAAACCGCAATAAGAATACATTTTTTTTTATTTCGGCTATAATAATATCATACAAGTTTACGTTCTCATTGGCTATTAGTCGACAGCAATTTTATGTATTCCCTTACTACCTACAACCGTTTTTCGTAGGTCTGTTATCATTTTGTTTTTAATTTTTATCAATAATATGGTTAAAACAACAACAACAACAACAACACCACCAAAAGTCCCATTAAAAGCACATGTACTTGTAAAGCTTTGTCTGACGACATGTCGAATTGACCAGTGGTTTTATTTCTCACAAATTTTGCCCATCATCTCAAAAGTGTTTAAATATGAGTTAAGTCTCTGCGGCAAGAATTTTATAAATCTACCAGAACCAGTTAAATATATTGCCTCCTTGTGGGTAAATTTTGTTGACATCAAATCATCATCAATTGATATCTGCTTTATAGTTTAGCCTATAAAAATTGTTTTATTTTCCAGAGTTACTGCCCCTGGACGAAAACGCTTTAGCACAGCAGCATATGAACCTGGTCACAGCACTTAAAAGACGAGAACTCGAAGGTGAGTTCCTGCATACATTTTTACTCAACTAGTAGTGTGTTGTATTAATACACTGCAACAGAAGATAGCTTTATTTTAAATATCTTGTGTCATATTTACTACTTTTGGCATTATTTAGCAAATAAATACCTACAATAATTATATAATTAAAATCAAACACTTTTTCTTCCATAATGGACCTTAGAGATACATAAATAATTTTAAAAAGAAAAACAGAAAGAAAACAAAAATTGGAACCCACACCCCTCAATTTCAATGCAGTTAGCCTTTTTGAATGCTCTTCAAAGTGGAGCTAATATATTAATAATGGTCTACCTTAAATTATAAACGATTTTAGTATAACAACTATTGTCTTGGCACTGACATTGCCAGTGTAGCGTCCATAGGTTTGTATTTTCTTACATGTAATAATTCCATATTTATTTACTAGTCGCAATCCGAAGGTTTTTTCAATACTATCAGGCTTCGTGTTGTCACGGCAAATTTATAGTTTGTCAGATTGTCATTTGACAATTTTCTTTAGAATTATAACTTAATTGGTGTTCTTGTGTGTTGTTTTTGTTTATATTACAGGATTGAATTATGTCTAATAAGAAATAGCTTCTGTCTACATTATAAAATTGTAAAGTAGGCCAAATATATCAATTTTTTTTTTAGTCTGTTATGGTGATACACAAAACTAGATCTTTGTGAATTTTGCAGACGTAATCAAAAGTAGTTGTGCATGTAAGAAATATGATAAAGCATTGTAAGATGATATAATATATAAGTGAAATTACTTTTTAAATAATGAAGGATTGGCTTTGTGTGGCATCTCAAAAATTGAACCACTTTCGAAGACATTTAAGGCATAATTCTTAGTGATATTTTGTCCAATTTTAAATTGATCACATAGAATATATTTTGCCGCATATGGCAACTTTGTTTCTTGTCAGCCAAAATAAATTACATCCACTAAGTCCGTATACGTCATACGTGGTTGATAATACATGTAACGAGTATAAAAAGAGCCATGTTTAAGAAACAAGGATCGTATTGAGCTGATACAAGTATCAGTTCCTTTCTCTGTTTTTCTTCAGTCATTTTTTTCTGATGAAGGCTCTATGATCTCTATGATATTTGAGAAGTCTTGAAAGGACGATTCATGTTTCGTTTTGTCGTAAAATTACTCTTTGTGCAAATTTAATTGCAACTTCATTCTACAGTCAATGTGATTCTTATAGAAAAGACATGGTGATTGGATGCAGTTAACAGATTACTAGTATTACGTCTTAGGTCAAAAAGATATATTCATTGATGTCTTTATTGATATTTTTATTAAAGCTCAAATTTGTTTTTTTTTATTGTTTTCAGAAGCTGCGGCATCGGAAGATACTGAATCCCGTTCTGAAAACGAATCTAGTCAGGAGTGCGCTTGGTGCCGGAAACCAGGAAATAAACAAATCTCATTGGATACGACGGCTGGTTCTAAAGTTTTCTGTAGCGAGGTTTGCTTTACGCAATGTAGGCGGGCCTCTTTCAAAAAGAGCAAGACATGTGATTGGTGTAAACACGTAAGGCATACAGTGAACTACGTGGAATTTCAGGACGGAGAAACACAGTTACAATTTTGTAGTGAAAAGTGTTTGAATCAGTATAAAATGAGTATATTTTGTAAGGAGACACAAGAACATTTACAGAAAATGAGCAAAAATGGAGAGGAATCATCTAGCGACAAGGACGGAGAAAGAGAAATACTTATAACCCCTGAGTTATGGATGCGTAGTGAGCATGCGCGACGAGCAGCAGAAGCGCGTGAATCTGCGCGTGAGCGCGAGCGTCAAGAGCGACGTGAAGATAGAGAAAATAGTAAAAAAACATTTGCAATAAGTGCAGAAAAACTGCCGTCGCAGAAACTAAACAATAAAACCGACAGTTCCGGAAAAATGCGAATTTCTCTACTTGATCATATAAAGAGTGAAGCTAAACATAGACGCAGCCTGTCAGAAAGGGAACAGGATAGAACCAGTCCTGTGCGGTCTGAACCTCAGGTAACATCACCTTCCCCGCAGAGCGAAACAACCTTCCCAGCACATATGCTTCACCCATCGGTAGCAATGGCCCCGTGGCTGCATCAGGCACATTTAATGGGTGCATTTCCGCCAGGCATTTTACCTTATGGCCATCCCGCCCTTAGCGGGGGTTTTATCCCCGCCCCCTAAACCCGGGAAAAGTGGTTCTGAAACCGAGATAAGGAAAATCGGAGCAGGAAAAAAAACAATGAAAAAAAGAACACATTTAAGGCGTGCAATTGGGATTTTTAAATCCACCTTCTGAGTCACCCGCATGAGTCGAGAAACCCAATTTAAAGAACCAGAAGAGCATTTTATTTCCGGGATTTCCGGCATTTTGAAAGGGACAAAAGGGGTCTCTGCTGCTGCAGACCACCCTTTCACCTTAAAACCCTGGCCCGCCTGTACTTTTCCCTTTCCGATTTAACCTTTTCCCAATTCCTTTTCCAGTCCCCTTCCCCGATACCCGCAACTTAAACACTAAAAAAATTTTGGGAGAGAAGGGAAAAGGGTGAACAAAAAAAAAAAACAAACACCCCTTTTTGCCAAAAATAAATAGAAACATAAATAAATTAGGTCCCACTTCTGCTACGCACAAGTCCCAAAAAAACCACATCAACCGGGAATATTACTTTTATGAAAGCTCAAAGGGAGATCTGGTAGTAGAATTTTGGGGACCTTTCTTTTAAAGTCAAATGCCCACCGTTTAAGCGTGCCGAAAGTTTCAAAATAAAAGATCGGGACCCGGACAATCCCTCTTCGATTTATCAACGGATTTCAAAAATACCCGCATTGATTTATTTCGTACTCTGTTTCAAACGAGGGAGTAATGTTTTGTCTAAAACCCGAACAAGGTCACAGATCAAAAATACCATGGAAATAGTGATAAAGGGGAATTTTAACGAAGAAAGTATTTCCCCGCGACGACAATGAAAAATATACGATAGGGGCCCCTGTTAAAAAATTATTTTATACGCTAAAAGAGTCCCATTAAAATCAACCACTACCCTTCCACAACAGATAATTTTTACTCATAAAAGGGGACCATCTTGACGCCGGGATTCCCAAAGAAACAGGATCTTCCCCGGGGAAAGGCCGTAAGTTAGAAATGAACTACATAATGAAGCCCAGGGGCGTTTGTAGAGGAAAGAACAACAAAGAAAATCTGCTAAAAAAAAAAAAATAGTCATAAGTTCATTTATCACATTTTGGGGAAGACAAAGTCATAATAAAAAAAAACATTTTTTTTAATACATTCTGATTTCAAATAAAAAAATGTTTTAAGCTTAGACGTTTGGGGCATCACCTGTTTAAAAAACCCCCTCAAACCAAATAAAATTTGAAAAATTTTTATGGTTACAAAAAAGTGTTTTTAATAATCAGTAAGATCCCCTACAAAAACCTTTCTTTAATATAACTTTAATATCGGTAAAAAAAAAAAGGCTTTTTAATAGAAAGCAAGTGGGGAAACATTTAAGCAATACGGGGACATTAATAACTTTTATATCCCCCCAATTTTTTCATATTAGTTTAAAAGATAAAATTTAGAATCTTGAACCCATGACATTTGTATATATCCAAATTTTTGTATTTAATAAAATTTTACGTTTTTTTTTCTTCAAAAAATTTTCTGTTTTATGTGTTTTTTTTCTCTTTTCAATTTTATTTTTCTTTTTAATCATCGGTATATAACATTGAAATTTCCTTAATTAGCCTTTTTGAAGAAAATTGATAAAAGCACTTTAAGAATGCCGGCGTTAATCCCGACCAAATAAAATTTTGAACGGACAACATACAACTAAAATTATCCAATTATTTGTTGAACGAGGTAATTTTATTGCAAAAAATTTTATTTAACACAACAAAAATTAACTTTTAAACACCAAGTTTTTTTTGGATTTAAATAACCCGAAATTTTCAGCTTTTTTCGTGGGGGAAACCCGAAAGAAAATCTTTGGACTATTTAAGAAATAGCGGTACAAGTTTTTTAATTTTTGGTTTTGAAACTACAGGGAGTATTTACAAGAAAAACCCAAGTCCCAAACGGTTTTCGACCTCATGTGGGAAATTTTAAATGTTTTAATTAGGGGCCAGCAAAATTTTTAAATAAAAACGTTATAAAAACTTTAACCCCTTTTTTAAACATATTCGACCCATTTTCCGAAAAAATTTTTTCAAAAACGGCCACATAAAAAAGGGACATTTGGCAAAATTTAACGAAAATGAATCAAATAAAAAAAAAATGTTTTTTACAATATTTCAAAACATATACAAAAAAAGTATGAGATATGTAAAAATTTTTAGTCGGGAAAATATTAAAATTGGGGAGGTTGTCTTTTTTAAAGAATTGACGCTCACAAACGGGACCAAAAGGTTTGAGCGAAAAGGGCACCCCAAAAAGGTTTTCTATAAACGACATGATTGGTTTTAAAATTTGCCCAAAACTTTATATTCGAAATTAAAAACTAAAAAGATATCATTTTTCAGCCTAAAAAGCCTATATGAATTCATTTGTGATTAATTTTAATCATTTAAAAAATGTTAGTTAAACACGACGAAAACAGTAATTTTATATTTTAATATTTTTATACTCTGAAAACTCTGTAACAATCGGAATAGGAAATTTTAAAGGCAAGTGCGGGACTTTCGTAGAAAATTGACCTCCCCAAATACATCGGGAAAGATGAGCAGCAGTATCTTTAAGTGGGGGGCAATGTCAAAAAAATACAGATGAATGGGGGAAATTTAAAATCTCAAACACGGCAAAAAAAAAAATTTTCAGGGTCGGGTCGTTACAATACAAAGCTAACCACCTCCTGCACCGGCTTTTGCAAAACCGCCTTTATTCTGTGCAATTTTAAACGCATGGGATAAAGGATAAAAAAATCTCAACGCAGGTATAGACTGTTATTTTCGACGGATAACGTTTTTACTTCCAAAATATTTTGGGAAAACCAACCCAACTAAAAGATTTCCCTGACCATATTTTTAAGCTTTTCTTTACGAGAAATTGATTTAAAAAAACAATAATTTTTTATAAAGAGGCTTTTCGACATCAAAAACATACATTGAAAATTCAGTCCGGTCCCCCAAACACACGGGGTTGATGTTTTTGCATCGTAAGGTTGGGGCTTACATATAGAAGCCTATAAAAAGTCACTCAAACTACAAAATTCCGGGGTAAGTGAAAATATTCCGTAATGGAACAGCAACAAAATCTATTTTTTTTTTCCTTTTTTTTCCATAGGCAAAAACTTTTCGGGACTTATACCAAACCTACTTTTACATGCAATGGTAAAGATTAGATACTTTAATTTAATGTTCGGGGGAACCCCCCAAAAGGGAGCACGAAACCCTTTATTGATAATTTTCTGGTTTTAAAGGGCGCCAAAAAGAAAAAAAATGAAAAATTTCCCAGGCCCCTTTTAACCATCTTTGGGGTTTTCTTTACTCCCCATATAAAAGGCACTACTTTAAAACATAAAAGAAAAAATGTCGGTGGAAAAAAATAGGGAAAAAAGATAACAAGGAAAGGGGCTATAATGAACGCAATCCCACACGCCCCACAAAAAGGGAACGTTGGGACCGGGGATCCCTCAAAAAAAAAAGGACAGTAAACAAGGCATAGCACGGACAGGAAACACTTAAAATAAAAAAAGGGAAAATAAAAGTACATGTAACCGACCTAAACCCTTTTTACAATAACATTTAGGTTAATGGGTATATAAACTGACTGAGATTTTTACTGTTTTTTGGGTTCAAGTCTATAGTTTTATTGCGTAGTCATTTATGGGGGGGCCAAAAGCCCTTGACCGTTTTTTCCGAAAAACTTACAGTTATTATTTTGTATAGGGCTGAAAAGATTAAAATTTTTTTTTTTTTTAAAAATTGGGCGTGTGATAATTTTTATTTTTTAAATCACCCCTTTCATTTAAAATCAGGGGTTTGATACTAAAAAATCTATCATTCATTATGAACTAATACTTCTGCGGTAACGGAGTTGTATAAGCGAAGTCGAAATTTTTGCCCACCGAACCCTTAACTTTTACAGGCAAAGTTCCTGCCTCTTTTAATCCCACCAAAACCATTGTTTAAACAATTATTTCCCCTTTTTTCCGTCTGATCGGGAGGACAGTCCCAAATTTAACAGTTTTAAATTGACGTTCAATCGACAGTACATTAAAGATCAGGGGAAACTGACAAAATTGGCCTCGCAAACGCAGGACATCTGAACAGGAAAACACCGATTGTTTGTATTGTATTGCAGCCTTCTTTAGAAATTTTTAACATTGAAAGGGCGGGGAAAAATTAGTCCATTGGTTTTCATTTTCAATTAATGAGGGAAAGGGGGTAACTCATCAAAATTTTTGATTGGGGAATACAACAAAGTTCCGTAATCCTTTAAAATAAAATGACAAAAAAATATTCTATGGATTTTGGATGAAGCAACATTTTCAATTTTTAAGGGGGCCCCAAAGGAATTTAACATAATAAAAAATAGTGGCTAATTTCAAAAATTTGGGTAGAGTTTCCACCAACAATTTTCCATGACAAAATTCTAAGTTTTACCTAATGGTTTTAAGAGATATTTTAATATTTTTATTATTATAAAAAAGGGAAAATCCATAACCCCAGGCAGGGCCTTTTTTGAACTTATATTTTTCATTCCCAAAACACAATGACAAACCTAGCCCCAAATTTCTACAGGGAAAATGAAATTCTTAAAAAATTCTTAGAGCTTCACCCAGGAATATTCCTGAAATTTTTATCTACACGGGCCCCTATTGGGTATGGGAAAAAGATTTTTTTTAAAGAAATGTTTGAAAAAATTTAACATGTAAACAAAAAGCTCACCTCTCGCACTTTGTGTACAGTTATCAAATTTAAAGAGATATCATTTAATTAAAAAAAAAAATGGACTTTTATGAAAATTTTTTGGAAAATTTTCTTATTGAAATACACATTAATGCAAGAAAAAAAACTAGTATGTCTATCGCAGACCTTAAAAATTTTAAAAAAAAAAAAATTTAATGAAATGTAAAGGACATAACTCAAAAACATACGGGATTTTTAAGAAAATTGGGTAACCCATATCCCTCTTTAAAGAAAC